CTGTCAACCAAAGTTGCTCAAAATCTAATGGTTTCTATTCCTCGGCAACCCCAATCATCCTGTGAAGTCAGATTTTGAATTACTTTTCTTGTTTGAAAGTTATCGTGTTAACAAATTTTTGCGTACAGGGTACAGGGTACGCACATACATTCGGACATCGAAAAAACGCTGGATTCGTGTTCCCTGGCCCCAAAAACACCCAGAAAACACATTTTTTATGGGTGTTAATTTTTCGACCGATTCCAATACTTTACCTTACACACTAGGTGTGTGCGGAAAAGTAATATATGCGTAGATGAGAATAAAAGTGACTCATATCACCATACACTCTACAGAATTTTCCATAAACGAAATGATGAGATAAGTTTGCTTAAGCCATATTCATTCTCGGCTACACCCTACAGGCATGTCGCAAACTCTTATCTTCCATTTCATTCTGATCATTATCATTTGCAAGAAAAATAAAATTTGTATGATCTTTGAACAAAAGCATACTATATTGAAATTCAGCTCTGACGAAAAATCGATTCGACAAGAAAAACAACAAAATTTCCAAGAATTTTGAGAATTAAATTGGACGAATTACATAATGCATCATTGTTTGTGCTATAAAAGTCAGCATCAAGTGTGACGATCTTAATCATGAAACTGTGCCTTGTACTATTCACTAGACTATTCATCTCCATTTTGGGGATTGGTGAATAGAATTTTTACCGAATTTTAAATTGAGTGTTGAACTAAAAATTGGTTTCTATTTACATTTTTATAGGTCTCAGTGAGAAATTTTACCACATTGGATGAAGGTACGTTTGATCAAGCAGTATGAAGACGCATATTGCAAATGGTATACATTAACGCCATATGTTGGCTTGGAGAGATGGGAGAGAATGCATTTTACGCATTCACACTTGTCAAAATCGACTTGACAAGTCGCACACGAATGCACGCGCTCATTAGTCATCAAAAATAAAAATTATATAACAAAACTATTGTTCAAAAATTCGAATCAAATCAATTTTACGAATTTTTTTAATTTAAATAAATGAAAAATATTACTTGCTTAAAATAATAATCAATACAATATTTTTGTTACGTTCACATTGTTATTACATGCATTGTTTATTGTGTGTTCCAAAAAGTAATTCGATTTGTTGTTCAATTAATTTACTTTTATTTACTATGATTAACTTTAATAATTTTCTATCATGTTTGGTTTTAAAATATAAAAGCAAATTATTTTTCATGATACCGAACTAAATTGAGTTCACCGAACTCATGCATGATGGCGCTGATCAGCAGTGTTCGCATAAAAAAGTCTTCAAACTCATATATGTGTCATCCACTTGCGTTTGGTTTTCGTTTCAAAGAAAAAATTATTATACGTTGTTTCAATTATTGAACGAATGCAGAAAAATGTCGAATAGTTTTACGCAAAAAATAGCTGACAGAAGTTAAAATCATTCGACCAAATAATTTTTGATAGCAGACAGTAATTTATTTTCACAAATTTAAAAAAAAATATTTATTCCGCACAGGGAAACTGGTACCAAGGCAATGCATATTGTAACTCCATCAATCAACGTCTGATTAGCATTATGTCGGAGGAAGAAAACGAAAAGGTTACTAAGTTTATAAAAAGTTCGGGAAGGTTTAGTGTCGCAGTCGATGAAAGAAAAGCATATCAAGCGAATGGATTTAATTTTTAAATTCAACTTTTGTCAGGCTATCCATTGTCGGAAGATAGCTTTTGGACATCCGGCACCAAATTGGGCGAGAATTTCCTTTACTGGATGAGTAACGGATGTAAAATTGTCTATAAAAATTTTGTTGATAAAAAACCATACAATTTAACTGAAACTGAAGCCCAAGCCGAAAAATGTGTAGAACTACGTGGTCTTAACGATCTTAAGTGGAATGAAGTTGGGGATACCATCCATAATAGAGACAATGTTGATAAAGTTGAATACTGAAATTGATACAGATTTAAAATTTCAAACAGATAAAGTAAAATAAAGATTTAATTTTAATGTCATCTTACGATCTACTTGATTTTTGAATAAAATGAAATTTTAAACAGACACTTGTTTTGATTTAAACGGTTTATTCAATATTTTTCTAAAATTCAATTGGTTGAAGCGAACCATGAATTGCAAACACGGTATCTCTTTATTCAATATCAAAATCAAAGAATGTATTTTTGAATGGTTCATCTGTTAATGTAAAATGCCACCATTCGGGATCAAATGGGTAAAAACCGAATGCCATCATTTTTGTGCGCAGATAATT